TGAATCGATTGTGAAACGAGCAAGCACGCGATCCAATTCGTTAACAAAGCCAATACTATAGTAGTCACCTGGCAATGCATGGCGTTTGCGATTCATGATTGTCTTCGTCCGCATGATGTATGACATCCTCCCCTCGACCTATCGTTCCATTAAATACATGGCCTGCGTTTACGTATTAGTTCCTTGACTTTCCTTAGGGCAGAACTGATTGCGCTCATCTGGCTTATCGACTTAAAAAGATCCATTTCCACTATACACATCCAAGATATGTCATGCCAATGTCGTGGCACACAACGCGTCTGCAGCCGTTCTCTCTTAGAATACCTGCGTCGCAATAAGCACGTTTCTACCAGCAAGCTGTCGGAATCTGAAGCAAATGAGATGTAAGCACTATTATCAAATTATCATTGTATTCCGGCAACTATTGACTCTAAAAGCACAACCCAGAATCAGACTGCCTCTCCGTTGCTACGCCTACCGCGAGAGCTGCGAAATCAGATCTATGGGTACACATTCGCTTGTTACTTCATTGATATCCTACATGTGGCTCGAGATCGTCTCCTAATCAGAGTTTTTCATCAGCTTTGCCGCCAGTACCGCTGCTACGAGTCTTTAGACCGGCTCCTTTACCCCTCTATGGTCTGCCGCCAGGTTTACAACGAAACTGCCTTCTTGCCATTTTCCTTGAACCCACTTCATGTCGGTTTTGGAGAACTCGCAACTATCAAGAACCTCATACCTGCTGGCGTAGTCGCATGTTTCAAGAAATTGTCGGTGTTCAATGATCGCTCGCTGAAGCGGCTCAAGGAATCTGGACACGATGTCAATTTGGAAGCATTGTGTAAATTTCCAGATTGGAAGACCGTTCTTGTGGTAAACATGGAAGGAGAGGTACAACCGGAGAGGACCGAAGAACTTAGGAAGAGAGTGGCGGCATACGCAGCTGCTGCCGGGCATGTTAAGACTTCTTGGCCATAGCATCTAGATAGTACTATAACTTGCGAAAATTCATCGCGTTAAGACGTCGCTAGTAGCTCCTGAGGTCACTTGGGTTCCGCGTGGCCTAGCGCATAGCAGTCTCGTAGCTTTGCGCTGCTGCTGTATAAAGTCTTGCGAACATAGCACCATCAATTTGAGGTCAAAAATCTGCGTCGACTCTTCCGAAAGTCATTTTGTTGTTTTATGATATCTGTGCACTGCCCAAGTGTCCAGGTGGTGTCGCGAAATCACTTATCGCGATTGATGACGTCACGCGTGACAACTGTCCGTAGACCTCCAACTCCCTTGGCAGGTACCGCTTCATCACAAACAACGACCTCAATTATCCTCAGGCATTTCTTCTTTGCATACAGGCATCACAGCATTGCCGTTCACAGAGCCTTAGAAGCGCGGCACTCATCATACCGTCAATATGGCAACGTCAGACGAGAAGTCGCTGCTAGACCGCGTCTTCGCCGCCAAAACCACCGAAGAGTCGCGCGAACTATACGACGAGTGGGCGAAGACTTATGACTCCGACATGTCTTTGCACGACTTCACCGCGCCACGCCTCGTCGCACAAGCAGTAGCCCGAGGCCTGAAGCTAAACCACATCTCACCAGACAAGCCTCTCGCTGGCCTAAAGATTGCGGATGCAGGATGCGGTACCGGCCTTGTTGGTGTCGAACTCTCCAAGCTTGGCGCTACAGATATTCTGGGCCTCGACATTAGCGAAGGCATGCTAGCCGTCGCTAAGAACACCGCGGTGTACGATGACCTTACGACTGCGGATTTGACGAAGAAATTGGAGTTTGAGGAGGGAAAGTTCGATGCGCTGACATGCTGTGGTACGTTCACGCATGGCCATCTTGGACCGGAGCCGCTAGAGGAGTTCGTAAGGATTGTCAAGGATGGTGGGGTTGTAGTCGCAACCGTGCTAGATAGCTTCTGGGTAGAGAAGGGGTTTGAGAAGGAAGTGCAGAGACTGGAAAAGGAGGAGAAGGTTGAGGTTGTGGAGACGGACTTGCATCAGTATCGGAAGGATGCTGGAGGTGGGCGCGTGTTGATCTTACGGAAACTGTGAGCTTGAATGGCATGGCGACGGTGCATGCATTATAGCAAGTGCAAAGACAAAGGGTCTGAGTAAGAGCTTGGTACAACTGTACTCATGCGCAAGGTTTTGTTTCACAGTAGACGCCTTTGGTGGACTACAAGATCTCCGCATACCTCGTCCCATCCTACATAACCTCCCACGCATTCTCCGTAGTGTATTTATAACAGGGGACCGCAGAATCAACATCAATCGATGTAACCTGGACTCCCTCTCGAACCTGACTGCTGACCCATTGTCGAACATTCATGAGCGCATCCTCGGTTTTCTTCGAGTCAAGATCCCTGAACCATTTCTCAACTCTCAACCGTAAAACCTCATCTTCCTCCGGAACATGCAATCTATTCCATTCATGGGCGAACAAGAGCCCATCCCCCAAAACTCTGGGAGCCCAAGAATGGACTTCAATCTTTCGTAGATTTGGAAAGCGATTTGGACAGAGGAGGGATTCTTGCCATCCTGCCAGGCTCGTCCAATTCCGATTCTCATAGATGCGAACGACTGAAATGGCGTTTCGCACGTCGTTGGGCATCTTCCGGACAGCTTCGATTACATTTCTAGGCCGTGCACGAAAAGAATTAAGTTCGAAGATAAGCAGCTTGGTTTCCGCATAGTATTGGCGGCACACTGGAAGAGATCCGAGGAGTGAGGATAGAGACTGTGAAGTTGTACTTGTTTTGCGCACGGGATTGTAGTTGTGAAAATGGCTCCGGCGGTGTTGACTCCCATGGTAATCGATGCAATCCCTGCGAAAGACGTATTCGTAGATCCTATTGCGGAGTTCTGCGGGCAGGCGTAGTAGGGACGATTGAGTTTGGTTACGCAATGTGCTACGCTAATGTCAGTGCTGTTTCGATCCGGAATTCGAGGCATCATATGCTCACATAGCGTCCATTTTGTCAAAGAGGTGTCTTGGATGCTCTCTTGGTGTACTACTGATCACCGTTAACTTGCTAACGTGTGCGATCAATCGGCCCTCAACAATATTTTTGTAGAGAAGAGGCTCTGCTCCAGGCTGACATACATCACAACCAAACAGGGTAGCCCGCTTATCCTATTCGAGCCTAGTACCACTTCTGCCTTCCAGATTCCCCCGGGGCCATTTGAGGTCACTTCATCTAATCGTACAATACTTTTACATGACACATGATACATCAGTCCATCACAACCATTCCACGCAGATAGCCAGCATATCCGAACGGCGTCGGTCGCGCAAATTGTGAAACAGCAAGTCCCAGTCCCAGTCCCGCGCCCGCCACGCTCGTTTCTTGGATCGACGCGCTCGCATCGCCCCAACGTTCAGCTCCAGCAAAGCATTCGCTTTCCCAGTCGTATTCGTATCGCTCGGACACATCATGCTCTGGGAAACGTTCTGGCACATGCCCGCATATACGCGCAAACAAGTCGACCAGGTCTTCGCTCCTCCCTTCGTTGAAGTACAGTCGCCCACCAATGATTGGCCAGGCGGCTGAGAACCGAGCTTTGGATATTGAACCACAAGCCAGCCATTCTGAAGGGCGAATGTATACGGGGTCGACACCGAGGGTTGGTCCAAGATCAGCCATGCATAGCCACCGGTCTATCCAACCTTTTGTGCCTTGCCATGAAGGTATCAGAGCACTGTGATTGCCGGCTGGGCTTACGAGATCGGTCACCAGGCCTGAAGCCTGGATCTGAACTACCTGGATAGCTTCATGACCTCGGACATAGAGGTCAAACGCTTCACGTAACGCCGCAGCTGCTACCAGTTAGCACGTAAATCATACAGTAAGACGACAAAGATTACCGAAGTCACTAAAGACCGTTATGAAAGGACTAGCTTGTGAGTCGCGAAGACGAAGGTGTTCTTCTATACCATCAAGACTCAGATGAGAAAGCGAGAAGTGACATATTGACTGAAACAAACTTGCGCCGATTGAGAATCTGGGCTGGTAAGTCGTCGCACTGTGCTCACTGAAGACGCGATAGAAGTAGGGACCCTCAAAGGCGTCGATGAGTTCGTCTTGAGGCAAGTCGCTGCTGATTGGCCAGTCAAAATCTAGCCGCATCATCGATCGTCATTCACGTACCTTAACATCGTTTCATCACAATCCATTTCAAAACTTTTCAACACCCTTCGTCATCTTCATTCCCGAGCAGCACAGCCCTTAGTGAACGGTTTGAAGCCGTTACATGCCTGCTGTCGTGTAGGGAAGTCTTCGGCTCGGCTGGTCCGTGATGGCGCAAAGCTCGCACCACCGCGGTGCAGCATTTTTGCCGCCCATCGACCTCATGTCAGCATGCATAAACTTCATCTTCTCACGAACGTTCTAAGTTGATGACATGCGTATAGATCAATTTGATCTGATCACGTGGAATCGACGTCGGCCGAGATGGCATCTTCGTATTCACCGTTCTTTCCAGATGGGGCAGCCGTGGCGGACTCTTCTGGCCACTTGATGTGCCCACTGCCTTCCGGACGCACAAACAAGACCCGTTCAAAGCACTTCCAGCTCATCTGGAAGTGCAGAGTACTTTCTTCACTGGCCGCTAAGTCACCATTGACCCTGGTGAAAGCTTGACCATCGCCCACTGCCTAACTACCGGCTTAGTGAACGCGTTCCCTTCTTGTTTAAATTTGGCTAACCAAGGGTCTCCACCACTCTAATATCTAACTCTACAACTTACAACAAGAGGTATTTATCTACACCCGATGGAAACCGCCCGCGAATCCAATAGGTCATCACTAGAAGAAGCAGTAGCGACTTCGCAGCATGTCTCCGAAGTTGTTCACTCTTCGCCTCAGGTCCATGATACTCAGACAGACGCACATGTGCATGCAGCATCTGCAGGCAGTCAAGCTCGCCTGGAGAGTGGGGAAGATGCAAGTGCGACTAGTGTTCCACCAAGTCTGCCTACGATTACACTGAGTATGCCTTCCCCGCCACCACTGTATGATCAGTTATTTCCACCGCAGGGACCTGAGCAGCAAACGTCAATCAGACAATCCTCTCCCGAGGCCGCATTACCATTAAGCGACCAACGTCCCCAGGAGTCGCCGCAAGCTCATCATCCAGCGTCAGGCACTCCCCCTCAATGCCCAACACCTGCCGACACGCCCGTCAATCAACCGCCAGTTCAAATAGTTCCCCGACCACAGGAAGACATTGATGAGATCTTCGAAGCTATAGAAACCAACAACTTCGACAGTCCCATCTTCGGAGAAGCAGGTGCGGTATACCACGACAAACTAACACGTCGGCTCATGCCTAGGACACCTATGTTTCAGCATTACAACATTATTCCTGAGGTGCCCCAACCGAGGCCTGTAGCTGCTCCCAACGATAGACTGCAAACACCTGATACGCCGACACCTAAGCCAAAGCCTAAGCGTAAGCCTAGGAAGAGGAAGCGCGATCAGACGCCGCAGGAAACAGTCATCAAGAAGGAGGGGGAGAAGGTACAAGAGGAGCCAGTGGAGAAGAAGCAGAAGGGTGTGAAGGTTGAAGACGCTTCGTAGAGGCAACCTCATTACGGATACCTGGTTGTGTCTGATCTAGATGGTAGGAGCATGGTACATAGCCCATCAGAATCTGGAACATCTCATAAGTGAAAAGAAGACTCCCTGGCGCAATGGTAGCGCATCACGCTTCTATTCAAGCGTCGCCTACATCTTTGAACGGACGCGTTCGGGGTGGAAGGCCCGCTTGAACCGTGAAGGTTATGAGTTCGACTCTCATGGGAGTTAATGGCTATTGTTTTTTGCTCGTCAAGTATCAGTAGCATGTTTCTAATGTATCTTTTTGACTCTTCACAAGACCAACTACTACTTCGTGATCATCATGTCTATCATCCACACACCACAATCTACCACTCCCCCAAATCCTCCCCCGTAAGATTCGGCCTAACATCCCCTCCCTCCAACCAAGTCTTACACTTCCATACAACACATCCCTCTCCGGCCCATGCGCATTCAGATCCATCTTCGGCGGCCTCCCCGCCTTACTCTCCGCCCAAGCCAGATACCGATACCCACTCGGATACTACCTGACCTCTTCCTCCGGCACATCGAACGCCTTGCCCGGCACCACAGGAACCATCTTATCCTTGTCAAACAACAAGGTCATGAAATTGACACCCCATTTCCCAGCCTCGTTCTTGGATAATAAAAAGAAGAAGCGGGTATCGGCTTCATTGTCCATTTCGATGTCGTCAAGCATGATGCGACATGTAATCGTGACTTTCATTTTACTTATCGCGCGGTCGCCTTGTACATCGACCGTCTGTCCACAGACGCGATGCAGAATGTACGGGAACGGGCCATGTGGCGTCTGTTTCTCAAACCCTTCTTTGGAGGACGCGATGAAGTCGTCGAGGCGGCCTTGCGTCCATGATGTAGTAATGTAGGCGCCGGAATGGAACATGGAAGAGTAGTTTTGCCACTCTGCGGCGTCGCGGTACATGCCCCAGCCTTCGCAAATTTCGCGGATCCTGAGGCGGTCGAGCACGGAGGCGTCGGTACCGGAGGTGTTGTTGCGGGTGGCGTTTTGGGGGTAGGTGGATGAGGGGGGTTGGACGGTGGTGTATTCGAGGCTTGGGTGTGGCATTTTGGCGGTGGCTTGCATGGTGGGGATGTGTTTACGGGATCTTTTTGGTGTATTTCGGGTGTAGTATTTGTAGAGTTGGCGTATACCCAGTTATGTCGCTGTGATGTATGCAGTGGTAACCGTTACGTCATTGAACGACTACCGAACATGAGGATTGTAATAGTCATGAAGACACATGTTCTTCTGCAAATTGTTCCAGGCTTCCACTAGCCACCCAGGTCTTGTATTCAGGAAGGTGTTGAACTCGGCCGTACATCGTTTCTGAGTCTTCCAAGGTTGGTATCAAGATGTATCTAGGGCTGCCGAGTCTTTCGATTCACAACCTCGCTCGTAGCGATCATTCTCGCTTCAGTCTCTTCGCGGGGCTACCCTCCGCCGTGGCGGAACCCCTCTTTGACGGGCTGCTCCATTGAAGATTGCGCGCTCTCCTGCATCTGAAAGGTGAGGAATTGGGACGGGTTTCTGTCATGAACGCGCTCCAACTCCAGTCCTCTTGGCCATCCTGTGAAATACCCGGTATTAGTCTTGGTATCAAGGCGTATCTAGGGCTACCGAGTCTTGCGACTCACAGCGTTGCTGGCTTGCTCGCTCGCGGGTTCCTTTTCGCTTGTGTTCTCGGGGTTGCTCGTCTTCTCGGCGCTGTCATCATCGTCCCCCGAGAGTGCAGCCGAACCGCTGCCTTGCTCGTAATCGTTTATTGCTTGGAGTGCGGTTGCCTGGCTGTAGGTCGTCGGCTCTGGCCTCATATCCCGGGTCATCCCCTGCAATAGGCTGGGCATCGTTCGGAGGATTCTATCGTACGCAATCTGGACCTGGGGGCTGGTGCGGAATATGTGATCTACAAAATCTGTTTCCAGATCTTGTTCATTGGCGAATCGCGCCAAACCACCACCAGCCACCCAGGCCTTGTACTCGGGGAGGTGCTTAACGCGGTCGTACATCGTTTCGGGTATTGCGCGTCTCGGAACAGTCGCCGTCGCACTAGAGCTTTTTGCAGCGTCTTTGCTGTTATCCGGCATGTCTTGATAGTGTCTCTCAAAATCTTGTTGGGTGTGTTTAGAGGAGGGGATGTGTTGTGCGCGCGCAGATGATGTGCAGGTGATACGTCGGAAGCTTTTGTGAGGTGCAGGTAGGCCTAAAACATGATAGTATGCAGAGGGACTCCTTGATGAAGCAGATTTTAAAGTCCCAGCTTCCTGACGTACCATGGTTCTGGGGACTTGCGGCTTGGCGTTGATATGCCGGAAGATAATCTATGATGCTGGGCTTGCCGAAATCGAGATGGCCTTTGGAGCGAATACGCGGTTCCTGTGGTTATAGTTCAGGAGGGAAAGTGAGGTGTTGACTACACGAAATCGCCTTCCCAAGAAGAAAACTACCTTCCGTGTTCTGGCTCGGAAGTTGCGTGTCAGCCAACATAACGATCGACCAGTAGGCGATCGAGTAGGTGCACCTGGCTTGGGCGGAGTAATGCAGGCAGGACGCCACGGAACGATTTGAATACGCATGTGCCGGGGAAGGTGAACGAAGATTGATGCAGACAACTGAAAATGGCTTCATATACAACGCTACGTACTAAATATCTTACACGTTCTGCTCGTTGATGAACAGACCGGCCATACCCATGCCAGTACCAATGCACATACTGGTGAGCAGAACCTTCTTCTTCTGCCTCCTGCACTCGCTCAGACCAGTTACGATTTGACGCGCACCGGTGCAGCCGAGCGGGTGACCCAGCGCGATAGCACCTCCCCTAGGGTTGAGCTTCTGGTGGTCGATCTTGAGTGTCTCGAGACAGTATACGGCCATGGAAGCGAAAGCCTCGTTAAGCTCGATAAGGTCAACGTCCTCGAGGGTGATGTTGAACTTGGAGAGGAGCTTAGGGATGGCGACGGATGGGCCAATACCCATGATCCTGGGTGGCAGACCAGCAACGGTGGCACCGACGTACTTGGCGAGGATGGGCTGGCCGAGCTTCTCGGCCATGGAACGCTTCATCATGAGGATGGCAGCGGCACCGTCTGTGAGTTGCGAAGAGTTTCCGGCGTGTGACCGGTCGCCATGGGGCAGGAAAGCAGGCTTGACCTTCTGCAGGCTCTCAAATGTGGTGCCGGCGCGGATACCCTCATCCTTGGTCAGGGTGACGGTCTTGACCTCGCCTGTCTTGGGGTCCTTGATCTGGGTGGTGATGGGCGCAATCTCGTCGTCGAACCAGCCCGCCTTCTGCGCAACCTCGGCTCTCCGGTATGACTCGGCAGCGTACTTGTCCTGGCGCTCGCGCGAGATGTTGAAGTCCTTGCCGACGTTTTCTGAGGTCTGGCCCATGGGCTGCATGCAATCCTTCGCCTCTTGGTTCTCGAGCACCTCGTCGACGAACGGCCTCTCGAGCCTGTCGCCGCCTGCTGTCATGCTCTCAGCACCCATGGCGAGACCGCACTCGATGCTGCCGACGGCGATCTGGTTGGCAATGTCTTGTACGGCCTTGAGTCCCGAAGAGCAGAAGCGGTTCAGCGACGAGCCGGATGTGGTGTTGGGGAAGCCAGCGGCGAGCATGGCGGCGCGGACATAGTAGGCAGCCTTGGCATCTGAGACGTTGCCGACGCAGATGTCCTCTACTACGGCGGGATCGAGGTTCGACTTTGCGACGACTTGCTTGAGCGTCTTGACGAGGAGGCCGTCAAGGGTCGTGTCCTTGAAACCGCCCTTGTGAGCCTTGGTGAGGGGAGTGCGGAGGGCGAGGGTGATGACAACATCGTCGGGGTTCTTGGTGGTTCTGTTGATGGCTGTCAGCGCTGCATTCTTCCCTTAGCATCCGCCGCGCGTTCTTCACGTGTCATATCTGTCGGGGTGGAGCTTACAGGGCCGAGATGCCGCTGGCAGAGGGCGTCATGTGCGAAACGATGGACTTGAGGCGGTCGGTCATTGTGAAGGTAGAGAGGAGCGATTAATTGAGGTCTGTGAGTGAGGAAGGCGATGTTTAGGGGAGATGGTGAGTGAATGCGGAGGCGGAGACAGCTCTTAACTTAAGTTGTGGGGCAACACAGTCGCGACGGCTGGGCCGAGGATCTCGGAGCCACATATCGCCAGGTCACGTTCTCTCGGCAATTGCCCTCTTGCCAGGCCGGGCCTTTTTGCTCACTCAACAACAATCGCTGAGCATACTAATCAGCCCATGTTATCGTAAGCCAGAATTCAAAGATGGGATGTATCAAGGTCTGCCCATCCACAGAAGTGCTGCATTGCTGGTCACGCCTTCCCCGCAATTCGCCGCCACGCTGCTTACGCCTCTAGCTTTGTGCTACGCAACTCCGACCTCATCTCAACCCACCGCCGCGGACACACACTCTCAACCTCTATCTGGTCTCATTTCAATCAAGATGAACTTTCGCACGTATGCGCACGCGAATTCGCGTCTTCTACTTCCGCATCATTGCGTCATTGCCCAATTGCCCCGAATGTCCCGTCGCGATTGCTTGGCAAACCCACGACGCGCAGAAAACACGCCGGTCTTCCGAATCGTGTTGCCGATAACATACACAATGTTCATATCGCTATCGCTTGATAGGCGATATGCCATTGCTTGGGGTGGAGCGCATAAATAACACAGCCTCCACAGCCAGCATCGAGACCCAATCTTCTGGTAACTGTGCCACCTAGTTGTTATGCTGTCAAAGGAAATTTGGCCCCCAACGCCATCACTGCCCACACACCGCATCCCAAAAGGCAAGTTTAAACGCGAATCGCGCTGTCAAGAGGTAAGGGTGGTCAGGCAGGTCAGCCTTGCATACGTCGCGTAGCATATTCACAGTCATACTCTTAATCCATCGTTCGTACTACGGAGACGTCAACCACGATGCTGTCCGAGGTTGCCTGGATGCTTTGTCCTCAATACGCCGCAAACAATCCAGCCAAGCGACTCAACGCCATATCCCTATTGAATTCTCGCTCAACATCCCAGCAAAACCCAACGAGCTCAAAGTGGCTTAAGGCACACCGCGGAATGCATGCTGTCTGCACGCGCCTGCTAGTAGACCCACACCCTCATTGGAGAGAGGGAAGCCACTCGCGAGGCTTGCATGGTCTCACACAACGGGAGCATGGGGGCGGCTGAGCAGGGCTGCGCTTTGACCTCATCCTTCCCATCCCTTGTGACTACTACAAATGCTCGCTGCTGGTCTCGCCTGTTCGCAGTGGTACGCGATCTCATCGCCTCTCCGACCTCAGCCATGGCCGATTTCGCAACCGCATCCATGACGACTTCCTTCAGTTCCTCCGTTACGCGACCGACACCCTCCTATTCGATCATGACCCCTTTCACTCCGCCGTCTTATTGCAACAACGTTGTCAAGTCGTCATGTTTTCTTGAGACACCGTCTAGTGGAACTTCAACTGGCACACCTACCCTAAGTTGTGGGTTCATTGAGCGCGATCAGACCTGCGGCTCAAATGGACGCCCCACCCGTGCTAGCGAATGCTTTCCAGGCAGTCCATTCCCATACTCGCTCTTGACATACTCCCCGGCTACAGGATGTCCTGGTGGGTGGGCAACGCAAAGTCAGATTATAGATTCGTCAAGCCGGACCACCGCAGTATGCTGTCCATCGTGAGTAGGTTCTGGCCAGCATGTTTGGCAGTCACTGACGTTGTTTATCAGCGGTTACTCGGCGCATACCTATTATTTCGCGAGTTGTACCAGTTCGATCACCTGGACCGCCAATTCGACTTCGGTCTTGGCATGCCAGACGGATGGAAGCTTGGCTTCTGAATGGTTTACCAGCGAAGATGGTAGCGGCAACACAGCCGTTTGGGCCGCGAAAATGGAAGTGATTCTTACCACTGCATTGGCCTCAGAGGCGACATTCACCCCTCTCAGCGAACCAACATTAGATTTCGGTCCTCCTCATTATAACCCACCACCTGCTGATTCCCCAGAACCCAAATCACGTCGTCTCGGTACGGGTCCCATCGTCGGCATCGCCGTGGGCGCGGTCGCCGCACTGGCACTCCTTGGTGGACTCTTCTTCTTATGGCGTCGTCGCCAAAATCAGCATCACCACGCGCCGATACCGAAGGCTAGCCCGAGTGGAGAGCACGACGCGTTACCTGAGTTTGTGGGGAACCATGGCACGATTTCTCCGCCTACACAGATGGCGAGTTCGAATGGTTTGTTTCATCCACAGCCGGAGGTTAGGTCGCCGAGATTGGAAACAGCGCTCACACCAGGGCGTTGATGGGCTTTGATGGCGTGGATCTTTTCTTCGTTTGTTACTATATTGATACCCATACTGTCTAGCACAGAGCGATACGTTGTAACCACTTGGTCGTTCGAGACCGACTGGACCTTCCCTCTCTCATTTTCATGATCCTCTGCTATAAGGCTTTTGTTCGGGTCCGCCTTCCTAAGTCCATTGACGTGCGCGGGTCGGTCATGCCGAGCGCGGGATCTCACTGCGCATGCGCAGCTCCGTTTGATCATCCCTTGTGCCAATCGTCGTCATATACATAACATAAGATTTCCGGCAAGGTTGGTTGCCAAGGATCAATCTCTCACCCGCTTTAACGCATGGGCAGATGTGCGGCGCAGCATGCGGCGCGGAACTCAAGCAACATTTGCGAATCTCGTCACACCGTTGACAGTCCTCTCATTAGCCGACGGTGTCATGCGCCGCATTATAATGTTCCCGTTGCCATGCGTTGCGTATGAATGCACGGGTGCCTTCGATCCCCATATGTTCATCTTCGTCTTCTCGTAGCCAAAATCATCCACTCCTATCGGCAATATGGCCGACTCTCCCGTCACATCTTCGTCATCGTCTTCCGACTCTCCCATCACGTCTTCGTCATCGTCTTCTGCTAGCGAACAAGCAACATCATCCTTCCTGTCCAGCGATATAGACACCACTTCCCGCACATCGTCGTCGCCCGTATCAACACCAGACTCCGCCACCCCGTACGGGTCGCTAATCACGCCGTTCACCGCACCAGCTTACTGTTCTCTTCCCGTTCGAGAGTGTGATCCAGAAGACCGCAGCAGCTGCGCATCGTGGGAAAGAGATCGAACATGCGGATCTGACGGCAAGCCCACTCTGGCAAGTGAATGTTTTCCGCCAGGAACACACTGGCTCGGCCCCTACCTTTCTTCTCACTCAAACCTCTTGTATTCTCCGGCAAATCAATGTCCAGAAGGATGGGTTGATGTAGCACGGAGGACATTCAGCACACCTTCTACTTACACTCAAGTCGCATGCTGTCCTTCGTAAGTTCTTCTTATGTATGCACAGCATGACAGTTTCAGTTGATTAACTCATCGGTACAGCTTTTACCGTACCAACGCAGGGAACACGAACCTGGCGGTGGAACAGGGTTGCTACAGCCTTCCCGGCACGGACGTTACCACGTTAGACGAGGTTGTGTGCGTTGAAGGCAAAGCTCCCGTCACTACTACCACGACTCTATCTGACGAAGTATGGCGCAACCTTGTCGACGCCAGGCAAATCCAGTTGATCTTGCCTACACCCGAGTGTTCAACGGCATCGGACGGCTCATCTTCCTGCTCCTTGAATTTCCCTTCGCCCGCGCCAGAGACCACCCCTCCCGATCCCGACTCATCAAGCAAATCGCCACTACCGAAAGGCGCCATCGCCGGCATCGCGGTGGGCTTCGCTATCCTCTTGTTAATGGCCATGTGCGCGCCCGTTTGGCTCCTTCATCGGCGGAAGCAACGACAACATACCAGTACCGGGACAAAGAAGCGAATACCATTCGATCTATCATCGTTGCCGGAGCTTGTGGGCATAAAAGGAAGCGGAGTTTCGAGCACGGAAATGAGTCTGGGTCATCCGAACGACGTAGTGCCGCAAGGGGGAGAGATCGCATCGGCGTCTGCACCGGTGGCACGATAGTAAGAATGGTTGTCGGAGTATTTAGATGGTCGTGTCGTCGTAGCGGAATGAAGTCGAGAGGTCGCTATGAAGTCTGCTGCACGGTGATGACGGACTTCGGGCCACGCACGTGATCAGCTCGTTGGGGTTAGCGAGATCGTAGCGCGTTTTGGGACTCGCGTCATTACGTCAGCGGACGGTGGCACACGCGTCGCGTCCTCGAACTTCGGCCATCGAGCTGTCAAACCTCGCCCAACAGCTTTCCCCCACGCAGATGCTCGCCATGCTGAATCAACACTCGGGCATCGACGCTACAATGCGAGCCCATAGAACTTAGACACGCCACTGATTAAACGAGGACAGCACTTTCCCCGCCGACATACCGATCGTCAGCGAGACGACCTCGGGAGCTCGATGATTCGATGTCTTCGTCAATATCGTCGCCTTGCTTTACACCGAGACAAACGCTTGGATGGCTCGGCCACGTTGGACTGAGCCTATAAGACTGCACTGCGCTTTCGGCATGGTAGCCTGACAAACGCCTGCTGCCTTCTCCAATTGAGACTTGCGGTCACAGAGGAGCGGTCAAGCTGTATCAAATCACCGCACGCTGCTTGCGGGCGCGATGATTTGCTAGTTTTGATGGCAATCACTGGATTCGCTAATCTCGAGTTATAGACTCGAAGGCAGCGATTGCCGACCGCGATTTGCAGCTCTCTCGCTATGAATTCACTCAATCCCATCGGGGTCGGCGTAATGAAGCAGGCACTCATGGCAGATGCTGATCGTTCCCTACGTTACTGCCATCTATTGGCTGCAGCCTATGAGTGTAGCCTCGCCTTTCTCCTGCCGTATATTCACCTTATTGCTCATCGATATATACGAACTCTACCATCCTACCGCCTAGCTCAACACACCGACCACCCGGAAGCTTATCACCACTCTACCTAACGTTCGCTCAACCCCTAGATCGACTACTGAAGCAAGAGTGCAGCACACGATCCTCCTGACTCCCCACCTGCTCCACGTTGTTCAGCCCACTCTCGACTGCAGTATACGAGTCGGACCTGGTGTCTGCCGATATGGATATTTCCAAGTCATGGAGCAAGTGGCAGGGTTTGGCTGCACTAGCTGTTTACTCGGTTACCATCATCGTCCTCGACCGTGTCTACGTAGAAGGCAGTACGTGGAAGTCCGCCGTGGCTTGGTGGAAGAGGTATCTAAAGCGCAGACGGGATGATCCTTGGATGAACGCCAACACGAGCAACGATTTCATCTTCAATATGCTGGCCAAGGCGATACCCGAGTCGCCAAACCATGTGTCGGATCAGGGCTATGAGCTTCTTTGCAGCTACAGCTTTAAGTCGTACACCAATACTCCTACTATCTACGTTCCTGGGACTCCGCCGATGTTCACGAAGCCACCTGCCCCGTTGAAACTGGAGCCAGATACAGGACGCTATTATATCGATCAACATGTAGCCAAGGTACCGCGATTCCAGTTCGAGCCACTCTTCCAGGCTCTTACTGTTATGATGCCAAGCAAGCGTTTCGACGACGTCGATGTCCTCGTCGCTCGTGGATCAATGACCGCGCTCATTACATACGTGAAGGATGTATCATGCCAGCCATTCGCACTTACTCTCCACGTTGTTGGCAACACTCTGATCGTGGGGCGACGGCTTCGATCTGGTATGGCTGGCTCTACCAACGGATCGTACGGGCGTAACTTTGAGGCTGCCTGGACGACGCAACTGGAACCAGATCTTCAAGATGCGGAAGGACATCACCATACCATACAGTACGATTTCGGTGGCCTCAACATCGTGGTAAGAGCAGAGACGGACGCATACATGCCCGATGAGCAGCCCTCCCGGGACGAAATCGAAGAAATGTTGGCAAAATCCACATCGCATCCCGAGCCCGAAATTGCGAACACTACCATCGGACTCCAAAGCTCTGACTCGACCACCGTGCTTCTGGCAGGAAAGTCGATCTCTCATAGCAAGACGATGGAACTAAAGAGCAACAACCAGAGCAAGCCCCTCGATCAAATTTGGGTCGGTAGAACTTCGCGGTGGTCTCTTGGAACGAACAAGGATGGTGTCTTCTCTTCGACCGAGAAGCTCTTCACTCCAGAGGAGATGAGGAAGAGCTACGAGGATGACGGCAAGCGACAAGGAGCTCTTCGTAAGCTGGTGTGGTTGCTGGGCGAGCTGAAGACGACGGTCAAGGAGAACACAAGCAACGGGTCTGCTGTGCTTCTCTGCCTGGGAAAGGGCGAGGAGCTGGTGGTACGCCCAATGAAGACGCATTTGCCTGCCCTTCCTGATGCGATTGTGCAGCGTTTCTGGAGCTTGTCCGATCAGGACGAGATGCACGCGTAGGTATATTCAAGGTATTCATCAATTCTGATGACTGGTATTCCAGGCTGCCCAATTCTTTCATTGCTCCTCAAAGCTATCACAATCATATTGCCTATCGAAGTATGTTCTTAATGGCTAGCCCGAACCAAGACGATGCCCCAGTTCGAGTCAAAACCGTGGCCTGTTCCCATTTATTGCTGCTCCGCTACTAGGCAGCCAATTGATTCACTTGCTAGGATTCCGTGGTCCGGTCTACTAGCGCTACGCTCTCTCCTCCGCCCCCAGATTTGTCGCGTTGGGGAGCTGCACGCCCTCTTACGTGGAATATCCCGAAGAGATGGAGATTTCACTAGGATTAGACAAGCAAATATGAAAATCTGACGTCAAAGTCGGTTCTAGGGTGCTCGCTTACCTCCTGGAGTGAGGGAGTATTGGCAAACAAAACACGCCTCTTCTACACGCCGGATCTTTTGATGGTATCAAGCCCCTTCGTTTCTCGTCCCCGTCTCGATCACGGTCATGAGCAGTCCCACCACCGGCCGCCAGCGCGGTACTGCCTCCAAAGCGCCCCGGAAAACACCTAGCAACGACCCCGACGTTAATCGTTGGGAGAATCAGCAACGTGCGCGTGCGCCTAGCGGCGCTACCCCACGGGTGAACACTCGAAAGCGCTCGAGATCTGGAGCGACTTCCGCCCTCGCCGACAAAGACGACGACGACGACGACTTCGATTCAGAGCACGACGTCAAAGTCAAGAAAGGCCGCACTACCTTCGACGAAAACGGGTACTTTAAAGAAGGCAACAAGAGCATGCGCTACTTTGGACCTGGGTTCACGGATCTATACTCGCCGTCCGTATCGCATCAACTCATCCATACCGGATTGTACAACCATATGCCGCCCCGCGATGTACTTCAGAGGCCTTTCCATCCACTGCACAGTGTTGTGACCCCCTCACAATTCGATCTATCCGTCTTCACTATCCCGCTGACCGCGTTGGAGATTCTTACGGTATGAAACTCGTAACAGTCTCTCGAGATACTGCTAACTCGTTTCAAGTTCTTTCCCTTACATGCGCAGATTCCCGAAGTACAAGCCCGTTTCGCACAGAGCGGAATCAACCCAAGATTCCAGGCTTGGATCATTGTGAGTCTTCTTCTATGCTTCGCCGAATGCGTGTATTGTACTCGGCTAACATTTCATCGCGAAGAATCGTCAGCACTTTCTTCAAGGCCTGGACTGTCTTTTCGGTATGGACGCACGCACCTGGGCAAAGGACTGGAGAAAGAAGAAGGGGGTGACAAAGCCTGTCAAAGGAGCTCCACCGCCTGCACCGCAGCCGATCATCCACACGACCGGTCACTACACATTCACACCTGGTGTCAACCGACACACAGGCTTCGACATCACCAAGACACCATACGCGCTTATCGATTGCGCCGAGGGCGTTCATCCATGCAATTTTCCCCAAGGTCTTGACCGCGGTCCGTTCACCGAAGCCCTCTTCCAAGCGCAGTTCATGAATCGCTCGAAGCTTATGCTGGCGGATCTAGATGCGTTCATTGCGTATTGGCTCATCGATCGAAATCTTCAGGCCGGCTACAGCGATGCGGGGTTTCTGAAGAGGCATGTGGCGTTGCATGAGGAATATCGGGCTATGGTGAGGAAGAACGTAGAGGCTCACGGCTATAGGTGGGAGGACTGAGGGGTGAGCGATGTGTCGTGGTGGTGTTCAAGTGTGAGGATGGTATACTGGCAGATAAATGGAAAAGAGGCACGTACATGTCTAGACTGTCTTTCGTAGCTTGGAAGCTCTTCCAGCGATACAGTCATAGATTTGCCAATGAACAAGAGTAATATGCGAATTATCTCAGTTGAGGTGGATAAAGGCGTCTTGTTGGGAACCTTCGCGGATGTGATATCGTTCGTGATATTGTCTGAGATCAACATTACATTGCTCAAAGTTACTGTGTCGTGTCTAAACACCCGTCTATATCATCACGCGAACCTTTCGCGCTGTACTCAATGTAATGAACTTTGACATTTGAGCGAATGTCACATGTTTGAACCACTCAACTATGTTAAGAATTACCCATCTCACAAACTAATGTCGCAGCAACACGCACGAAATCATCCACTACATCATCTGGATAACTGCGAGATCTATTATTCAATTCGTTCCTTATCTTCCCATGTTTCCTATTCCAATGCAACGCTCATGATACCCCGGCCAGATACTCATATAGCATGTGTTCCACTGGCTCGGTCGTCTCTTCTCATGTACTTCAATGATCTGCACGACAGAAGCACTGGAGCATAGCATTAGTCCATGCAAGGTTTGGTGCCCATAATCACTCTTGATGAAGTGACAGGGACAATTGTACACAGAATGCGTGTAAGAACCTGGGATAATGAAGCTTTCGTGAAGACAAAAAGGGGCACATAATACACTGCCTCTGTCCCGGACCAGGCCTTGCTCAACACACAGATAAGCCCAGATCCTTCGCCACCACATACGAAGTCTGTACTTGCGGTCTTTCTGGGCGACCCTTGGGTTGTTTGTAGATATATAAATACATCAATACTTTGATTCGTTTCTTATCTTGTCGAGGCTGATCTTGTGTGACGCATACTGCGAATTGAAGAAGACTGACAAGTGTTGCTAATATAGGACCTGGTCAACTGATCAACTGATGCTAAGCTGGAAAACATTTCCTCGTATCGCTCGCATCCAGATTTTTACCAGAATATGACGTGACTGACCAGGAAGTGAGGAGCAGTGTCAGAGCATTTTCCGATTGATGAGATCCTTGAGATAAGAGAAAGCTTCTCAATGGGAGAAAACTTGTGACCGGGTGGCTTCGCACGAAAAGCGTGGAGCCATGTTACAGTTTTCGGCCTAGTTCGCATCCCAACGCAATTGTGTTTTCACCAACAAACTTTTCCGACAGTCCTTCCTCCGTTGCTCAAGGACGACGCGCCAACGACCCCTCATCGAGACACTTCGCTGAGATCTTCGTCGAAGTGGATAGACACCAAGGGCTGTGTTTCTCATATGGTTGAGTGGTGTCGTGATACCGCGATGGCGAGATGGCGGCCAATGGAGGGAATTGTCGCAGTATCGAAAGTTGGGGGATGGCTTTGAAACCTCCGTGAGATAGATATCGGATCTATCCATGTCACACATCCATTCAGTGTCATGAGAGGACATCGAGGTAGCTAGAGTGGCCGATATGTCTAAAGCTGAGCCTCACTGATCACTGAGCCTGGTCTTGGCTCCCCATCGCGACTTTTGCTTTGTCCTTCTTTTGCCGGATGCGATAATCCGCCATCGTCTTACGATACCGTTTCAAGTCTGGATTGTGGCGACGAAATGCTTCCTTGTCTGGGTCCTCCATCCCAGGTCCGAAAGCCGGGTTTGTCGTCTGGAAGTAACCACCCGAATCTTCGATGAACTGGACATCGCTGAGCAAGAGATCAGCCCACTCTTCTAGATTGTCGTCGACAAACTCGATCAATTGAGTCAGAAGGCCCCTGTCTGAACCGGAAGGATAGTTTTCGCGATCGACACCGTTCGCAAGATCGCGAACGTAGTAGTCGACTAGTCGGTATTCGTTGCCAGGCGGTGTCCAGTTCTCACAAGAGAAAGATGTAACTGGAGAAGCCGCGATCGCAGGCAGATGCTGTTGTTCATGATCACGAGAGCCATACAATTCTTGGATCTCGCGACCATGTTTGTTCGTCTGCTGACTGATGGTCGACGGGCCGACACCTTCGACGGCGTCGGTGTTGTAAGCGCGGTTCTTCAGAACATTAGCCTACGAAAAACAAGAGCTGGAAAGGAGAACTGAACTCACGATCAAGTCAGCGATGTTGTTTTGCGTCCAGCCGCTTCGAGCAAATCGCTGTGTCCAGTCTGGCCAGAGTGAGCCATGCGCGGGAAACCACTATACCATACATCAGCTGCGGTGTCTTTGTTCGAGCAACCAATCTATACTCACGATGGCCATCTCCACTATAGTTATAGGTGTCGAGCCCAAGTGCCGGATATCGACCTGCTTTGGGGCGCCCATACTGTACACCGGGTGCGGTTTACCATCAACACGGTAGTCTTTCATGTCGATGTTCATCTCCGTGGCAATGTGTACGAGACCCTCGGGTGGCATGGTTCCTTGACCGCCTTGCTTGAACGTAGCCTCGATGCTTGGATCAAGCGGGACTGTGACATGGAAGCCGCCGCCAAGATCGAGAAGGTAGGTGCCTCGGGGTAACATATCCGGAGAGGATTCAAGAATAGTTTGATTGCAGCGGTCTCGGCTCAGCCGTGCGTCTTCTTCGAATGCTGACTTATAGTCTTCAGAATCAAGAAGCGCGTTTCGATGTATGATGACTTGGCCAGGAAACCGATCCCTCGCGTCGACAAGGTCAGCGAATGTGAAGTCAAAGCCTGAGACGCCGGGGCCGATCGGGCTGGTTCTACCTCCAAGGAAGCCCAATGCTCGAGCAAGATTCTTGCCTCCTTGACACTCGCTTGGCGTTCGAAGACGTATCGCTGCGGAGATCTCGCCGTCGGCTTCAAAATGCGGTGTTGGTAAGTCACTGCGACTGTCTTTCTCGGCGCCCAAGCTTGCTGCTGCCAGGTCCAGCGAGTTACTCGGCGGTCCGAGTGAGCTCGACAGTGATTTGGTGAGTTGCGGTGATATATCGCTGTGCAACGGACTAGCAGACGTTGAACGATGGATATCGCCTGTTCCAAAGTCATAATCCGCGATGGCCTGGACGTTTGTACCGGTTGTATGTCGGTAATGCTTGGCCACTCCGTTGGCCTTGCTAGTCGCTCTCATCGTAGTCTTCTTGGGTTCTTTCTTGGACGCGGTACGGACCTGAGGTATAGCAGGTCTGCTCATGGGTGGAGCAAGATATGGCGAATGTTGCCCCGTGGGATGCATGTTGTCTCTAGGCGTAGAGAAACTCCGAGGCTCATGAGGGGCGAAAGCGTACGCGGAAAGGTCACTAGCCGGCGTGGTAGTCCCTGTATCACGGATAGACTGCGACAGAAACGACGATGCTGGCTCTTCATCTTCCAGTAGATGGTATATGGCGCCAGGGAACTGTTGATGATCATGCGCGGACTGGTGCGCTTCGTCTACGCCGAGGGTAGCGCCAAAGACGAATTCGTCTGCGCCTGTGGGCCATATCGCGTCGATAGGGTGATACTGCGGTGTGCGAGAGGGCTCGTGGCTCTCAGAGGGTCGCTCCGCGGATGGTTGGCTTTCGTGTCGCGCCCAATTACTGGGGTACTGCTGTGGTGGCATTGGTGACTTCCTCGGCTGCGATGGCAGTGAGCCTAGCGGAGTAACTTGCGGTGCGCTGATGGTTGCGGCAAGCACTTCGAAGGTAGTCGATTAGTTTTGGGGGTATACTATCTGTATCAAGGCGGGCAAGTCAGTGGACGATGGGCTCAGCGCGCCATGCGAGTCTTACCAGATGTCTTTGTCAAGGATTGCACTGGATGGGTATACTAGCGAGCTTGGTGACATATGGCTGCTGTGTGTATGTCGATTTAAGCAGGGCGTGGAGTAGCGATTGGATGTTGAGATTGGCGAAAGAAAGGGTCGACGAGGGTACAGCGTCCGCGTTCGGCTGTTGCGGCCAAGGGGCTGCGCTAGCCTCTATGATGCCTTCACAGTCATCATTTGCTTTCCAACATACGGTCTTTTACAAAAGATTATAATAGGTCAGAAGATCTGAAAAGGCTTATCGTCACACTTAAAAGACCATCATGCGAGCGGTAGAAGTGGCCTTGACGTGTAGACTCTAAAAGCCGCAGCCTTGTCGCCATAGATTACAACGCGTCGAGTACGCAATGTACTATGGTCGCTCAGCTCTGAGATCATCTTAAGGTACTCGGTCGTGCTAGTTTTTCAATACACCGGGTTTGTTTTCAAACTTCAAAGGATCAATCTTCGGTTTAGATACACTTTGTCTGATTGATCTAATGTGATATGTGCTATACAAAGCAGTTCCCAACGTATCCAGCTACAAACAGTGCGCGGCGCTTACCGACTCGGTGAATTCAATGCTGGTGTGGCACAGCAACGACAACCACGTTCCTTTCGCCATTACCCGACTAGAGTCCTCCTTCACAGTGTTCTTCTTTCGAGGCGGTCAAGTGCTCGATCTACTTAGATGGGGGACGAGGGCTCATCAAATAGATCATCTCCACTCCGAGAATTATCTCCTATAGATTCTAATTAGATGGGAAGAGGACATGCATTGATATGGACTATTGGCAGTGACCAAAAGCCAAAGGATAGGAAGAGAGGGCTGGGCGGCCAACATACCAGATAACATAGATTTGTCCGCCAACGAAGGGGCCCCAGCCTTGTACTCTGGTACAGCTCGTCGAAGCACTTCCTCAGTCTTTGCAGATATGGCCATACCAGGCGCATGGAATGCCATATCTGGAAGGGGTATGGTCCCCAGAAAGCATGCGTGGCTGAGTCTGAGCAAATTCGTACCTGGCACCGGTGCGCCCTTCTGACCGGGGAGAAGTCGAGACTGTGCGCTGTAGAGCGGATCTAGAGAGATGAAGGGTTCGGCTGAATCGTGCGGAACAGTGAACCCCGTAGGTGCAATGTTATTCCGAGTCTTCTGGAGACGAGAAGATGATTTGGATGCAAACTGTCCGTAGCTCCTCTCGTC